ATATATGAGTCCTATTAATAAATGGTTATAAATGAGTCTTGTTTGAAACTCAAGTTGTTTCAAAGATAGAGGATGATGACGTCAAATGAAGTCTTTACACAAATGTTCATAATTTCACGTTGAACCACAATTTGTACTGGACGGTTCCAATTTAGAACGAATTTAACTGAATGTTTTTTGTCCTAAACCACTTGTATAGTTCTCTAGGGAATAAATTATTATTCAAAAGCTTGATACTCTCTTCTAGCTGCCAAGGCACATTTATAGCTTTATAGATGTAATGAAGATTTAACTCTTTCCGGCGTGAGGAAAACAAAATTCTTCTTCAAGGTATATTATACTACTAATTCCAGCACAAAAAATATGATACCTTCTTCTCAAGTCATAGTATACAACTGACTACGACACAGCTGAGATGTTGATTGACTGACTATTTTTCAGGGACATACTTCTATTTAAACTAAATTGAGGTGTCATTACATGCTGAACGCGGATGGACAAAGCGTGGCTATTTCATCATCTGACAATGTGTAGTACCCGATTTAAACCCATACTCAGATAAGACCTTGAACACAGTCAATCATTTAAGTTGTTTGTTTATCAGAACCGGCTATCTAAGCAACACTTTCGAAAGCATAGAATCGTTTGGCTTCTAAATAAACAAACTCTTACCAAAATAGCAGTTCATGTGAACAATACTCATCATCACAATAAAACACAATGAAATAAAAATAAAACAAAAGAATTCAAATTTTACAAATACAAAATTACAATACATGGTCGTAACACTTTCCCCCATAAAAAGAATTATATAATAAAGCCTTCTTTTTACCAGATGTTGGCATACGAAAGGTAAAATATTGCATAAGAACAAACTTAAGAACCTTACGAATTATGCAAAGGTGTATTTGAAAATAGTATTTCTATAGACGAGAAAGTGCATCATCAATAAGATTGTCTTTCCTTTAATGTGCCTGTTGTTAAGATTGTACTCTTGCAAAATATATCCACCCAATAGTCTTTGATTTTTATTTTTCATCCGGTTGATGAAAGTGAGGGGGTTGTGATCACTGAACACAACAACCGTAGAAGGAGCCGTGATGGTGTAAACTTCAAAATGCTGCAATAACAGTATTAAAGCTAAGCATTCCTTCTCGATTGTTGAGTAGTTTCTTTGACATTTAATTTCTTAGAGAAATAACACACTAGATGTCCTGCACCATTTCTATCATCTTGAATTAAACTGCGACAACGCCAACATTACTATCATCGACATGTAATTTGAATGGTTAACAGAAATCTGGAGCTATCAAAAGCCTCTTGACATTTTTCAGTCCAAAGAATCATGTTTTCATTTCTCAACAAGTTTGTCAGAGGTTCAACAATATTAGAGGAAAACAAGAACAAGACTTGGATTATTATCCAGACGTACCCAAAAATCGCATCAGCTGGTTTTTACTGATAGGCACAGGAAATTCAGAGATAGCTTTGACCTTAGCATCGATAGGTTTTATTTGACCATGTTCCACAACATGTCATAAAAATGTAACACAAGAACGGAAAAGAAACTCACTTTTAGCTAAATTTATGATCAGATTTGGATAAGTGAGTCTGTCAAAATTTCTGAATCGTGGTTAGACGTTCTCTTGAGGTGTTGTTGAATATAATGACATCATTAATATCACAATTGTCTAGACTTTCCGTAATTTCAGAACTCAGAAGATTTGTTGTTCCAAGATCAGTAGAATCCGACTGAAATCTTTAGTTTGTGGGACAGGTACAACTAAATTAAATGCATAATGTAACCCTATATTTTTCAGCATACTAGTACTCCATTAGTTTATTTAGAGTAGAATACTAATATTATAATCTAACTACTTCATTTTGTTCTTTACTTTGTAAGAACCATACAATTTAAGTTGAAGAAAATTTTGAACAATGAGTATGAGATAATGAACTACATAACAAAACTCAAGACTTCATTCAATCAAGGCTCTGTGAAAGCATGATTTCACTTTTGACTTGAATTGCTGTATACCAGATTTTTTCAAGCATGAGTAGCTGTAAAACTTCCAGGCTTGAAATTTGATCTCCTAGAAGACTGGACAGATTTTGGAACTGAGTAAAAAGAACTTTATCACATCTTTTACTATGTTTTTGGTTTTAGTATTCCTCAAAGGAATTGCCTCTGCTAATCTTGTTTATGAACACATAATAGTCAACAACTATTGGTTGTCTGATTTGGTCTTTGGTAAGAGACTAACACAATCTATTAGAATTCTGCTGTGAGTGGTTTGCCAAGTGCAGGAATAGGTTGCAGATGAGCATTGGGTTTTCCTACAATTTGCCATCTATGACAAGATCTACAAAACTTACAAACATCAATGTTGATTTTTGGCCAAGAAAGTGAGTCAATATCTTGCGATAGGTTTTATTATCATTCCTTATCAAAATCATTCTCAAAAGCTATTTTACCACAGCTCTGGTAACTATTAAAGCTATATATAAATAGTGGATTTGATTTCTTTATCAACAGGATCTAAATAATGCTTGTCATTTTCAAGTGGATTAATAATAGCCTTGTCTCCAGATAGGTCATTGCCTAGCAACAAATGAATGTCCTCGAGAGGTTGAAATACACCATTTCTACTGTCACATGTCCTAAAACTAAGTTGCTGGAAATTAAAATTCCTGTGTACATTGTTCATACTTTAGTCAACTGGTATGGCAAACAGTTGTATTACGTGCGATGGGGAAGTGTAATATCCAGCGCTTTCCATGTAACCAATGGAGTGAGGCAGGGAGGTATTCTTTCCCCCATGTTATTTAATATTTACATTGACGACTTAAATCGTATATTGGGCCATTGCAACGTAGGGTTACGTCTGCCACCAAATGGGCTGTTTCTTAACAATTTTAGCTTTGCTGATGATATGTCACTGATAAGTCCGTCTGTCGCAGGTTTAAGAAAATTATTGAAGATATGTGAACAATATGCATTAGAGAATGATATCATCTATAATACACAACAATCTGTATGCATGGTCTTTCAGCCAACTTCTTTTAAATTATCATCACCTCCCTCTGTACATCTTAACGGCAACGCTCTTACGTATGTCGACAGTTATATGTATTTGGGCCATATTTTGAAATCCAATCAGTCAGATAATGAAGATATGATGAGACATTATCGATATTTATGTACTCGAACAAACATGCTTCTACGCAAATTTAAGCCTTGTTCATTGAGTATCAAAATTAGATTATTCAAATCTTATTGCTGCATTATGTATTGTGCTCCACTGTGGACAAACTTTAGTGAAAATGTGAAAAGAAAACTAGTAATTGGTTATAATAATAGTCTTCGCATTCTATTAGGTCTTCCTAGATGGAACAGTGCCTAAAACAACTTTGTTAATTATAATGTATTAAGGTTTGAGGAAGTAATGAGAAAGTATGAATATTCAATGATAACAAGACTTTCTAATAGTGAAAACTGTATATTGAAATCACTTTAGAAATATGACATTAATTTAAATTCTCACATTGTTAATAGATGGAACCAATTACTATTTAAATGTGTCATTTAAATTTCATTTTTTAACAATGCATGGCGCAAATAATTGTTGTAAATGTATCTGAATACTTGTACATATGATATGTATATATGTTTTAGTGTATATGTATGTGTGTATGTGTATGTGTTTATATATGTATATATGTATATATGTATATGTATGTGTATATATATATATATATATATATATATATATATATATATATATATATACATATATATATATATATATATATATATATATATATATATATATATACATATATGTATGTATGTATGTATGTATGTATGTGTGTATGTATGTATGTATGTATACACATACATACATACATACATACATACATACATACATACATACATACATACATACATACATACATACATACATACATACATACATACATACATACATACATACATACATACATACATACATACATACATACATACATACATACATACATACATACATACATACATACATACATACATACATACATACATACATACATACATACATACATACATACATACATACATACATATATATATATATATATATATATATATATATATATATATATATATATATATATATATACATACATACATACATACATATATATATATATATATATATATATATATATATATATATATATATATATATATATATATATACATACATATATAATATATATATATGTATTTGTATGTATATATATATATGCATATATGTTCTTTTATATTTACAATGTTTTACTCTATATTAGTTATTTAATTTAGATGTATGGACTATGCAGTTTGAAATAAAAAATTCTTATCTTATCTTATCTTATTTGTGGCCACCATTTTTGGATTCTACTCGCGAAATGAAATAGGGAAAAATGGTCTCGTCTGTTTGAATATTGCCAAATTACCCCTCAAGGGTTTGCTATGTCAGGTATGACATATCCTAATATAAAAATTGGCAAAACCCCCAAGTCAGGAAAAATAACAAGTAAAACAGCCGGCATTGCTTGCGTAATAACGAGGGGGTGGGGTAGCAGACATTGTTAACCTAATAAACAGTCAAAAGTGACAACAGATGTATCCTGTGTATCAATGATGACAATATTTAGGATTTATGTTACAATCATCTTTTGGTACCCAGTACCTATCTTAAACAGATGGTGACTCGAGGATTGTCTCCTTTAAATGATTGGTTTTGACAGAAGGTGCTTTGATTTATTTCCAAGATCAACAAATGGACCCATTAATAAATTCATAGATTTGGGATGTATCTACAGGTCTCACAGAGAGTTCATAAATGCATGTTTACATATAATATTCTCTTATGGTAATATTTACCTTTGTATTAAACTAACCTGTATATTCTAAAAATTTATATTTCTATTACATACGATAGAAGATATAACCGGTTTGTCAAAAATGAGATTCGAACCCACACCGGGAAGACCCGAGAGTGACTTGGACATAGTGCCTTGGACCTCTCGGTCATCCTGACATATTCATTACAATGTCATGCTGCACACATATTTTTCAAGTATACATGCAGAGAGAGAGAGAGAGAGAGAGAGAGAGAGAGAGAGAGAGAGAGAGAGAGAGAGAGAGAGAGAGAGAGAGAGAGAGAGAGAGAGAAAGAGAGTTATACTGTATGTCCCTCGTTGAAATATGAATATCTCCAGGAGACAAAAAAAAGATATTTTCATAAATTAATAGATTAGAAAGTTAAGCATAGATAAATACATATAGTTGATATATGCATATTTACATTCACAATAAAGTTTTAATCATAATTACATTTGCTTTAAATATACTTGTATAGATTTGAATAGCGTTCTTTACATTATACAGGACCTCAGGTTGATAAATCACATAAGGGTCTTGTTGGGTTATTATTTCTTATAAATATTGTATATAATAAATGCAAGTATTTAAAACAATGCACACGGATTTAATGCAATGGACGAAAAGTATGTAGAAGTGATGCTCATGAAAGCGAGGTGTGAAACCACATCTACAATAATTCTTTAGATGAAAATAATTATTAGACATCTTAAGCTCCTTGTCTTTTAAGATCTAAGATTGAAACCAAACACCATACGTCTTTTATTATTTCAAAACCTCAACGGGTCCAAGCCAGCTCACAAAAATGTATATCTGTGACGGTCTAGAATTGTCACAAAGGATTAAACTTGGACTGGGGACAAGGATCATGTCTTATCATTCATTTTGCAAGATTTTTTTCCAAGAAGGATCCTTTTCTGTATTCCTGGACTGTAAGTCGGACAAGTGAGTATTACATGTTGATTTTTATTAATTTTAAGAAAATTAGTTTGATTAGACTTTTGTTGCGTTTGAATATTAAAAGTATTATATTTATTTGTGGAAGTGAAATGCGGTTGCACTTTTAATTTATTTGATAGGTAGTGATCAGCAAAACCATTTTTTTTTATCCTGTGTGTTAGTTAAAACTCTTATAATTTCGAGCTCTGAATTATGGGAACCAACCCCTCTCCCCGGAAAAAGTATCAGGAAAGGTAATCTTAATAGTCTTTTACAAACTAGAGTTATCGACCGTTTCAGGCATCATACAGTACTCAGTCTATAGTTAGCTGGAATCCGTCTGAAGGAAATACTTACAACTTATTTTGCGTTAAGACCAGAATGATTATCAACAAGTCTTGATCTGTAAGCCTTAGAAGAAGCCTGAGATACACAAGATGCTGTGCAAAGTCCATATATCGCCGACCTTTGTACCCGACTTATTTTTGCGATATATTGAGGTAGATTGTAAAACCAGCATGTACCATCACTTGAATCTTGTCTTGATGACAGCTCCATGTAGCATTGTAAAAACCACTTTTAAAAGTTCAGTTATAAATTAGCTTGCGTAAAATTAAAAATATGAGAACAGAATAAGAAAATTAATGATAATAACGTATGTATACGTTTCGTTAAAATAGATCACACATACAGACACACGCACGCACACACACAACGAGAGACAAATGTTGTCTTTATATGAAATATTTAGTTCCTTTGCCTGTGATGTATTCATTTACTGTAAAGACTGATTACACTTATGATCTAGAACGACATGGCACGGTTAATTCAGGAAGGCTACGATCATCTCGACACATGATGTGGTTGGTATTGTATAAATACGATTATCTTTGCACATGATATGGTTACTAGTGTGTAAATACGATTATCTCGACATAAAATATGATTAATATTGTATAAATACGATTATCTCGACAAATGATATACTTAATATTGTGTAAATACGATTATCTGGACACAGGACATGGTTTATATTTTGTAAATACGATTATCTCGACACATGATATGGTTAATATTGTATAAATACGATTATCTCGACACATGAGATGGTTGATATTGTATAAATACGATTATCTAGACACATGATATGGTTAATATTGTATAAATACGATTATCTCGACATAAAATATGATTAATATTGTGTAAATACGATTATCTGGACACATGACATGGTTTATATTTTGTAAATACGATTATCTCGACACATGATATGGTTAATATTGTATAAATACGATTATCTCGACACATGAGATGGTCGATATTGTATAAATACGATTATCTAGACACATGATATGGTTAATATTGTATAAATACGATTATCTAGACACATGATATGGTTAATATTGTATAAATACGATTATCTAGACACATGATATGGTTAATATTGTATAAATACGATTATCTAGACACATGATATGGTTAATATTGTATAAATACGATTACCTAGACACATGATATGGTTAATATTGTATAAATACGATTATCTAGACACATGATATGGTTAATATTGTATAAATACGATTATCTAGACACATGATATGGTTAATATTGTATAAATACGATTATCTAGACACATGATATGGTTAATATTGTATAAATACGATTATCTAGACACATATGGTTAATATTGTATAAATACGATTATCTAGACACATGATATGGTTAATATTTTATAAATACGATTATCTAGACACATGATATGGTTAATATTGTATAAATACGATTATCTAGACACATGATATGGTTAATATTGTATAAATACGATTATCTAGACACATGATATGGTTAATATTGTATAAATACGATTATCTAGACACATGATATGGTTAATATTGTATAAATACGATTATCTGGACACAGGACATGGTTTATATTTTGTAAATACGATTATCTCGACACATGACTTGGTTAATATTGTGTAAATACGATTATCGCGACACATAATATATTAATATTGTGTAGAAACGATTATCTCGACACATGAGATGGTTAATATTGTGTAAATACGATTATCTCGACACATGGTATGGTTAACATTGCGTAAGTACGATTATCTCTATACATGGTATGGGTAATATTGTGTAAATACGATTATCTTGACACATGATATGAATATAGAAGCGTACACACGATGATCTCTACAGACATGTTACAGTTAATAAAGCGTGAATACGATGAATACTACAATGTGATGTATATTTCAAAAGACATTTATATATGTACAGAGACTGGCATACATACGTATGTATGTATGGACGTGCAGAGGTAAAGAACGACAAATGTTAGGGCTTATAAAATTAAATCTATATAGTTGTTATATGCCTGACCTCATGTAATATGTATACGTACATGTACATTCTTCTATGAGAGAAAGAGTGAGAAATGGATAAATGGGTAAACCGAATATGATACGTGGGAATATAGTGACATTGAGTATATGTATGCAATTTACGTGCTCGAGAGCTGTATTTTCTTAAAGGTATTAATATATTTTGCTTTTAGTGTTTATTGCACAATCTACTAAGTTTAAAAGAAAAAAAGGTTCGAATGTATGTAGGGGAGATTCTAATGTGAATGCAGTATATTAAATCACTTAGCCAGCTCGACATGTCCATTTTCATTTGCTTTGCTTTATTACCAAGCGAAACAATCAGAAATATTCGTAAACTAATAGACTTCAATGTAAACACAGATATACGCATAAGTACTTATATTAATATAGTTTGTACGATTATATTTGCATCAAATATACTTACAAATTCAAATGGCAGCAAAAATTCGATAGATAGTATTAATTTCTTGGTATTATGTTAAGTGAAAATAAATATACAGAGATGGAATCATAGAAATATATAACTGTCAGAAGTGGGATTGAACCCACGCGTGAAAGACCCGACTGCGACCTGAACGCAGCGCATCACCTAAGACCGCTCTGCCATCCTATCATATTCAATACCGGTATGTGCGCAGATACACAGTTTTACAGTAAACACACACACACACACACACACACACACACACACACAGTTGTACATATAAGATGGAGTACATATGGGACTCGTGGAAATATTGCGTCATCGGATAATGATTATTTATATATATATATATATATATATATATATATATATATATATATATATATATACAAAAATATAAATATATATATATATATATATATATATATATATATATGTGTGTGTGTGTGTGTGTGTGTGTGTGTGTGTGTGTGTGTATTACGATGTATCAATGATACACGGAAAAAAAACGGCAAAAACCCCAAGACAGAAAAAAATAACAAGTAAAACTACCGGGATTGCTTGCATAATAACGAGGGTGGTGGTGGGATGAATGGGCGGTAGATCAGTAGTTCTGTGCCTTTTGTGGTTATTTACAATCACCTTTGCATATTGATAAATTGATTTTCTTCTTCTGGTTACTATTTTTCCTACATTGATTAAATCAGTATAATACATGCTTATGATTTCAATATGAAGCTGGTTTTAATAATAAAAGTAGAGCACTATACAGTAAACCTTTGCTTAGCTACGCCATTCACATCAATGCTAAGACATTCACCTTCTGGCTCATGGAATTAATATGAAATAGAAGCTAATTGAAATGACGAAAAAGGAAGAGGTAATTAAAATATATTAATATATTTACAGTTGATCTAAGTCATTTTTCTGCTTTTGCAACATTACAGACGAGCAGAATCTCTCTCTCTCTCTCTCTCTCTCTCTCTCTCTCTCTCTCTCTCTCTCTCTCTCTCTCTCTCTCTCTCTCTCTCTCTCTCTCTCTCTCTCTCTCTCTCTCTCTCTCTCTCTCTCTCTCTCTCTCTCATCCTTTTGTCGGTTTGACTTATTATTTACCATCATTCATAACTCCAGAGATATCGCAGAATGACACCAACAAAATTCCTCTATACTCGACATTTCCATAGATTTTTGTCTGTATTTTGCTACTACGGCCCAGAGAGAGAGAGAGAGAGAGAGAGAGAGAGAGAGAGAGAGAGAGAGAGAGAGAGAGAGAGAGAGAGAGAGAGAGAGAGAGAGCTTTAGTCATGTTCATATGTACATAATAATAATAATAATAATAATAATAATAATAATAATAATAATAATAATAATAATAATAATAATAATAATAATAATAATAATAATAATAATAATAATAATAATAATCGATTTTTAGGAGAATATAGTATGTTTAAGAAGCAACCACAAAACTTAACATTAAATACATCACAGTATGTGCAACACGTAACTGATGAATTTACTGCATAATGGCCACCTGGGTTTTAGCTTTGTATCATTGATAAACACTTTAGATAAATCAAAAGTATAGTTGACACTTATCGTTGAGACGAAAAATATTCTTTTAGGCTACTTAGTATTAATTTCTATTTCAAGGTTTCAATTCAGCCTAAATTCCGTTTCTCTCTCACTCCATATTTCTGCATAGTTTGTTCGTTAAGTATGAGAGTGGAGGAGGAAACAGAAATCAGAAAGGGTTGTATACGATATTAGATTCGATTTATTATCTCGACACATAATATATTTCATATTATCTAAATACGATTATCTCAACACATGATATGGTTATTGCAGCGTACATATATGAGCACTAAAGACATGCACTTAATAAAGTGTGAATACGATGAATAATATAATGGGAAGTATATATATATATATATATATATATATATATATATATATATATATATATATATATATATATATATATATACATACATACATACATACATACATACATACATACGTATGTATGTATGGACGTACATAGGTAAAGAATGACAGATGTTTAAGGCTTATAAAATTAAATCTGTATAGTTGTTATATGCTTGAACCTCGTGTTATAGGTATACGTACATGTACATTCCTCTATGAGAGAAAGAGTGAGAAATGGATGGACTAGATGTAAACCGAATACGATTCGTAGGAATATAGCGCCTTCAAGTTTATATGAGTTACATTTGTTGATCGACCCATAGAATGTTTAATTGTGAGCTGTATTTTCTTAAGTGTGTTAAAATATTTTGCCACTAGTATTTATTGCACAAGCTACAAAGTTTATTGTTAGAAAAAAGGTTTGAATGTATGTGGGAGAGACTCTAATTTGAATGCAGTGGATTAAATCATTTAGCCAGCTCGATATGTCCATTTTCATGCGCTTAGCTTAATTGCCAAACGAAACTATGAGAAGTATTTGTATATTAATAGACTTAAAGGTATGCACATATATACGCATGCATATTGTATGTAATTTAGTTTGTACGATTATCACTATATTTACATTAAATTTACTTATAAATTTATAAATGAAAATTTAGTTATATTTCGATAGATAGTATTCGTTTCTTGGAATTCTGCGAAGTGAAAATAAATATAGAGATGGAATAATAAAAAAAAATTACAAAATGTCAGAAGTGGGATTCGAACCCACGCCGGGAAAACCCGACTGCGACCTGAACGCAGCGCCTTAGACCGCTCGGCCATCCTGACATAGTGGTATTATCAAGTGCGAACATACATAACCATAAAAAGTAACAATAGCCTACTCTCCGATTGCTAAATGAATTTAATTTGGTACAGAATTGAATCACAATCCTTTCTTTGTTCGTTTCTCCCTTCCTTCTAATGCCTATGAAAAAATATAATATTTAGAAATCTGGTGTGAAAGAGGAAAAGAAACTCTTTGCATAAAAGATATTGAAACTGAAATTGCACCATGTAACCTACAATATCGTTCTTCGTAACGGTATATTTACACTTCCCTAAATTGTTTATATTGTCCATGATACAAAGTTGCAATTGCCGGTCGACACAGTAAGTTAAATGTCTTGGTAACCTGGCACAATTATGTAATGTATTTTTGGCTTCGTTGATGTTGTAATTGTTTCTCAAACGTACTGTAAGGTTCTAACAATCGATTATTTTTAATTAAATATGAAAATATCCAGAGGCTCTCTCTCTCTCTCTCTCTCTCTCTCTCTCTCTCTCTCTCTCTCTCTCTCTCTCTCTCTCTCTCTCTCTCTCTCTCTCTCTCTCAATAAATCTAACGTGTGCTTGCAGTCTTTATATCTATCGTACTGTTAGCTTCCATGAAACTCACAGCCCTACTTAGTAAAAACGTAAATCATCAATATCTAGTCAAATCAGTAACCATTAAAGAACTAAAACATCAGCTTAATTCCGTCTCAACAGAAGAACAATTGAAAACGTTTTACTCCAAATTAAATAAAGATCAACAAAGACTCTCTTCGAAACTATACAAAGTCAGAGATAGAAAACTTAGAAGTCATGATCTACAACCAAAGGACTGTTGTAAAGAAACTTCAATTGACGAAATTTCTTCTAAAAACAACCGTAAGAAGAAAAATCGCCGCAAACGGAAGAATCGCAAGCACTCGAAACCAACCAACAAACACCAGTATCTCCTCCCAACCAGCTGTCATCCAAAACACTGCATTAAGAACATTCCATATAGCCAGGCACTGAGGATACGCAGAATTTGCTCCGACGATGAAAGATTCCTAGAAAGGTCTGAAAAGCTGGCTCAACATTTAATTTATCGAGGCTACGACAAAGACCTGATTGCGGAGGCAATCAAAAGGGCCAAACAAACAAACAAACCGTGATGACCTACTCAGATATGGACAGAAAGAAAAGGTTGATAGGATACCATTTATTCTGACCTATCACCCAGACAATCCCAAAGTAGGTAAAATCATCGCAAACCACTGGCCAACCGTGCAATCGTCAGACATACTAAACCTAATACTTCCGAACAAACCTGTAGTAGCTTACCGGAGACCAAAACACCTAAAGGACATTATAGTCAGGGCAAAGCTAACGCCAATCGCTAGTCAAAACCAACCTAGTCAATCTGGACCCTGTGGCGATAAAAGATGCAAAACCTGTCAACATATGATAGAGACTAAGACATTCACTAGCACAGTGACTAAAGAAAAACTAAACATACATGGTCCAAACAAAACGTGCAAAACAGAGAATGTGATTTATCTCATCACATGTAAGATCTGTGGCCTTCAGTACATCGGAGAAACTGAAAAGCTACACAAAAGGATAAACCTTCATAGATCTGATTGGATGACAAAAAAGCTGTACAGAAGCCCGGTCGCAGAACACTTCTCCTCCCCTGGCCACACTTTCAGTGATATAATACTTATCGCTATTGCTAACAACCACAGCTGGAGTTCCGAAACCAGGAAGGAAAAGGAATCATACTGGATACACCGCCTTAGAACATTGAAACCCAGCGGTCTAAACCAAGAAGACTAGAAAATGAAAATTATGCACTAGTAGAATTTAACATTTTCTAAATCTTATTTTTATCCTTTAATGTTTGCTATAAGAATAACCAGTATAGAATCAAATATCCGGGATATAATCTGCGTTACATATGTACACAAAGTAAAAATAGATGTCGCTTTGGCTTGTAGACTTTTAGGGAATTATAAAACGTTTTCAGTTTCCGCAACTAGTCTATACAAGCTGGTTGTATTTATAGTTTTAGCACATGTGAAGACAGCCATGTAGAGGTTTACAAACACAACGTTTTTGTGTTTATTTGTTTGTCGTATATATGTTTTGTATTTGCCTTTGTAAAAGACTCATTAAGAGTCGAAAGCGCTTAGGCTAGTTAGTTACTAGTTTCGTACAGTTCGTCGTCAGTTTATTGCATCTATTTTAATTAATCCCTGACACACGTGATTCCTTGGTGGATCCAGTACGCCATATGATTTGTATTCTTTTTATATATATATATATATATATATATATATATATATATATATATATATATATATATATATATATATATATATATATCAAGCATCATGATCGTTTCTATCCTATATTATACACATCAAGGAAAGTCATGAAACTCCCGAGTTATGTGGGGT